AAGGAAGTTCTAATTCTGATTTCCATTCCAAGTTCTGAAGTTGTTTTTCTGTAGCTAGATAGGAATCCAAAGGCTTGGTCTCCTAACGTACCTCGATTTACCAAGACTGTTGACCATTTGACTGTCAATCGAACTGCCAGGATTCCTTTAAATCATTTCAGTTTGTTATGGGTGAACAAAAGGACAAACTGGTGAAAATCTGAATTGGTAGCAGAAAATACTGGAAAAAGAACTAGACAGGAGTAATCAGAGTACTATCTAGAATTTGCTAGAATATCTAGATGAATCTGCATTGTTTTGAGCAGGGCTGCAGTGGAAATAATACTTCAACTCTATCAACCCTATCAACCACAGTATGGAGATTCTTTGGTTGAGGAAGCAGGAAAACATGTTGGAGGTATCCCTGTGGAAGGTGGCACAGTGGAACTCATCTGACAGACTGAGGAATTGGGAGAGTGGAATGAAGCCCTTGTAGGAAGCTGGGTACGAGGAACTGTTGTCAAGGTAACTGGAAGGCAGTGGGTTTGTAGTGGGTATTGGCGGAGAGCCTGTTACCAGAAATGAAAGCAGTGAAGTCCAGGAAGAGAATTGGGGAGTTAGAGGTGGACCACATGAAGGTGAGTAAAGGATGGAAATTGGAGCAAAGCTGATTAATTTTTCTAATTTTGCAAGGGAGGAGAAAGGTTTGTCAAGGATGTTATTGATGTAATGAAGAATGAGTTGTGAGAGGGGAACCCAAGTCCGACTCAACCAAGACATGTTCCACAAATCCATTTGGGTACCAATAGCCACACGTTTGACTTGGGGAAACTGAGACAGGTTAAAGGAAAAGTTTTGCAGAGTGAGAATGAGATCAGCCAGGCCAAGGAGATTGTTGGTGGGTGGGGACTATTCAGATCTCCTATTAAGGGAGAAGTGGAGAAACATCAGACCATACTGATGTGGGGTGAGTATGTAGAGGGATTGTACATTCCTGATGATGAAGAGCTGGCTGGAGGCAAGAATCTGAAATGTAGAGCCAACATAACGCACCTGAAGAATCTCAATTGTGAATGGGAAGAGACCGAACAAGGGGAGATAAAATAGCAATGATGGGAAGAAATAAGTTCAGTTGTGTTTGGAACAGACTGAAACAATGGGTCTGCCAGACTAGTCTTGTTTTGGGGAGAAGGTAAAAGCAGGTTGATATTAAAGATTTTTGTTGATCTCTGATTTCACCGGCTGCCACTCTGACATTCAAATCCATGTCCTCAGAATAATAACTTGGGGTTCTAGTTCAATAACGTTGCCACAAGGCATCAATTTCAAAGAACAAAGAAAATTACAGCACAGGAACAGGCCCTTCGGCCCTCCAAGCCTGCGCCGATCCAGATCCTCTATCTAAACCTGTCACCTATTTTCCAAGGATCTGTATCCCTCTGCCCCCTGCTCATTCATGTCCTGTTGCAGAATAGAATTTAAATTTCTTCAAAAAATTGCACAAATAAAATGCTCAGGCATTTTATGGATTATCAGTGTCAGAAGAGAAGAGGACAACCACAGAAAAAATAAGTTTGAGTATTATTTCCACACCTGTAAGATAATAGCCTGGGAGTAGTGTCTCGGTTATTTGGTACACTTGCCTTTTTTGGTCAGTCCATTGAGCATAAGATTTGGGGGGTCATGCTGCGGCTTTACAGATCGTTGATTAAGCCACTTTTGGAATACTGTGTGCAATTCTGGTCTCCCTGCTGTAGGAACGATGTTGTGAAACTTGAAAGGGCTCAAAAAAGATGTTGCCAGCATTGGAGGATTTGAGGTATAGAGAGAGGCTGAATGAGCTGGGGCTATTTTCCTTGGAGTATCAGAGGCTGAGGAGTGACCTTATGGAAGTTTATAAAATCATGAGGAGCATGGATAAGGTGAATAGACAAGGTCTTTTCCCAGGGTTGGGGGAGTCCAAAACTAGAAAGCTTATGTTTCAGGTGAGAGGGGAAAGATTTAAAAAGGACCGAAAGGGATAATTATTTCATGCAGAGGGTGCTGCATATATGGAATGAGCTGCCAGAGGAAGTGGTGGAGGTTGGTACAAGTATGATATTTAAAAGGAACTTGGATGGGTATATGAATAGGAGGGGTTTAAAGGGCTATGGGCCAAATGCTGGCAAATAGGACTTGATTTATCTAGGATATCTGGTCGGCTTGGACGAGTTAGACTGAAAGGTCTGTTTCAGTGCTGTACATTTCTATAACTCTATAGATCTATAAAAGCAAGACTGGAAAATTCTGTTGATTAATTTAATTGGAGTAGAAATATTAATAGATTTCAATTCTCAAGTTGAAATCTAAAATAATTCAATTCGATATCCTGGTCTGAATTGAACACTTTGATCAGGTTTTGAAATAAACTGGGCAACCACAAATATTTTATCCTGTGTTAATGTATACACCTGTAATTAACATTTCCTTGTTCACTTATATTAACTTGAAATGTTTTATCTGCTTCAGGCCTTTTTCAAACAGAATAATGTGCCTCAGGAAAGTCGATTTAATTTAAAGAAGAATGTGGAAGAAGAATACAGAAAATGGAAATCAATGACCAATGAGAATGATATTATCACGCACTTCTCCATGCAGGGATCTCCACCGCTCTTCCTCTGTCTGCTATGGAAAATGTTATTAGAGACTGACCACATTAATCAGATTGGCTACAGGTCAAGACCATCATAAAATAAATATATTTCTGTGAATTTAGAGACACGTTATTAAAAATTAACAGAACTATCTGCATATTTAAACAATGCCATAGAATCCATACAGTCCCTGCAGTGTAAAAGCAGGCCATTAGGCTCATCGAGTCCAACCAACCCTCCGAAGTGCATCCCACCCAGACCCACCCCTTGCCCTATCCCTGTAACTCTGCATTTCCCCTAGCAAATCCACCTAGCCTGCATATCCCTAGACAGCATATATGTGATTGGCTTCCATATCATTTAATTGAGTAAATAAAGCAAATTATTTTCCTGCCGACATCCCTTGACCACTCCCATCCTTAAACCATGCTATATATCATTTTCTTAATTAAAAGAACGTCTTCATTCCTAAGACTTCAGTAGTGTTACACTTTGAGCTAACTTCCTGTATGTGAGTTGCAAGTTTTTAATGGTGATCTTAACTGGTTGTTATTTTTTGATTTCCTTCCTACAGGAAAGATGTCTTGCCTCTCCCATATTGAAAAGTAGTCATATACAAACCCACAACCACTGTTGTCTGACCCAGTGTGTTTATGCATTATGTGTGTTCCTTGCAATTTTTTATGCACAAAACTTGATTTGCATTTTTGAAGCAATAGTTAACATATCTGAAAGAATTGTAGGTAAAGCCTGTACTGTGGCAAACAAATGTAGTTGTGACATTTATCATGCCACAGATTTGTGGTGGACTGGAGCTACTAATGGAAGAAGACCTAAGATCGCATTTTTGCTTTCTACTGGGTGTCTTTTCTAATCTGAATTATGTAGCCAAGAAGCGTAGAATTGATTTTGGCAGCCAGACATCACAAAATGCTATTAAATATTGTAGAATTGCATGGGCAGGGAATTGACAACAAGTTTCTAATTTGTTCTTGATAGAAACAAGATGATTTAAGGAAGAGGATAAAATGATGAAAAGATGAGAACTGAATTCAATAGAAATATTCCGTTTGTGAACAAGAGTAGAAAATAATGGTTTTGTAGGTTTTGTGCTTTTGTGTGTTTAGTGATTTGATACAATCACTGACTTTAGCTGTAAGTGGCTTGCTATTCTATCAACACAAAATTATGAAATGATTGGGTGAATAATCCCTCTATTATTGAGATCAACTTTGGCATCATTCAGATGCTAAACGTAGGTAGTTTCCATGCTAGTCGATTTAAAATATTTTCAAGAAGTCCTCCTGCTTTCTCTTGTGAATCAGGGAGATCAAAAGTGGGGTAGGGCAAAATGTAAACTGAAATAAAAGGAGGCACCTTACTAAAATATCTCTGCTTATGAGGTGCACGATTGTCTTAGATGGGGTTTTGTATTCAACATTACAAGTAACAATACCAGACTTCATATTCCTCATGCCAAGTCACAATTGCACTTTCCTCCAAGTAAAAATGCTGCAGCTCCCAAACTGGGCCAGGAAGTTGGTGTCATCAACACCATTGATGTGCATATGGAATCAGAAGTTGATACCCATTCTGCCCATAGGCTCATGCATTGTACGCCAGATTAGAAGACGGAGATCAGATTGGAGGAATTAGAGAATTGGAGGTTCACAGAGTTGTGGGATGGTTTTAGTACTGGAGGTCGTTACAGATGCAGGTGTGAAGCCATGGAAGCCCATGATTATTAAATTCAGGGAATGAGTGTTTACCTCCTGTAATCTCTACCTCCGTCTGACCACTGTCATTCTTTCTCTCTAATGCTTATAATGTCACACTCTGAGGCAACTAGTGAGAGAATAGAATGTTGGGGTCTAAGAAGCTGCATGTGGATAAGCTGCAGATAGGGACGGAGTGACTGGTGAGCGGCAATGCTTCTCCATTACATATTCTACCTCAATCTAAACTATAAGATTGCTTGTCTCTCTTCAGTCATGGATGCACTGCATTTTCTTTAATATTTGTTTTGAGATCTGAATGATATTGGCTCAGTCGCCATTTATTTTCCATCCCTAAATGCCTTGGAGAATATGATAACGAACTGCCATCTTGAACTGCTGCAGTCGTTGGGATGTAGGGACACCCATAGTGCTGTTAGGAAGAGCCTTACAGGATTTTGCTCGAACAGAAATGAAGGAATGTTGAGTAGAGTTCCAAGTCATGATGATTAAAAGACACTCTGATACGTACATGAAAAGGAAAGGTTTGGAGGGATATGGGCCAGGAGCAGGCAGATGGGACTAGTTGTTTTTTTTGGGATTATTTTTGGCATGGACTAGTTGGACCGGAGGGTCTGTTTCTGTGCTGTATGACTCTGACTATTCCAAGAGAAAGCTGTAATTACAGCCTAAGAAGTTTATCTAAGCAGCAGATCATATAAAAATTTATAAAGTAGAATGTAAATAAAGAGAGAATGCCTGACATTAAAATGAGCATGAATTACGACCTATTGTCCTCGAGACTCTAATCACACTTCACTCGAAGACTGCAATTAATTTCATTATTCAGTAATATAGGAGGTAGACCTGACTTTGCTGTATATCAGGTAATGCGATTCTGTTTCTAACAATTAATCGTTTTCAACTGATTAAAATTATTTTTTTCTACTTGTTGTAAAGAAATTAAACTTGAATTTTAATGTGACTTTATTATGATTATACTAATAGAAGTTTGTTTACTTGTTGAAAAATATTCAAAGTAAATGCTCATTATGTGAAATGTCAATCTCTCTATATGCTAGTATTTCATGTGTTCTTTTATTTATATATTTAGAACTAGATTACTGTTTTCTGTAAATTGTCTTTTTAAATGAAATTTAAATTATTCTCTTGACTGCAGAGTGTTGGAGAGAATAGGAGCTAGAGCTTTGGTAGCTCATGTTCGAACATTTGCTGACTTCCTAGTCTATGAGTTCTCAACTTCTGCTGGAGGACAACAGTTGAATAAATGCATAGAGATCCTCAATGACATGGTGTGGAAATATAATATAGTCACTTTGGACAGATTGATATTATGCCTGGTAAGTGAAGTTGTTCTCTTAAGGTTATTTAAAATATTAGAGCAGTAACTGAGTTTTAAATGTATCTTTAATTATGTTTTACTTGATTCTCCCTTCCTTTTCAAAGCAAAATATAATTGGCCCAGACTTTGCAGTCAACAGAGAAACAGAGACATTTACTGTTGAGTTTGAAGAAACCTGCCACAAAGATCGCTGGTGTGAACTTCTGTTTTTTTTTTTAATTTTTTTAAATCTACCAAACCAAAGGATCTGCAGGTGTATAGCAGCAATGTTGTCAGGAAGCAGGGTATGCAGCCAATTAAATTGAAATGTCCTCTCAAACCAGTGGATCCTTCACTTTTTAATTTTCAGTTAATTCCATAAATAGTTATGCGCATCAATTGCAAATGGTCGAAACATGGAACTTTTCATTACAACATTGAATTTACTTTTCAGGATTGGTAAGGGCATTAAGCAGTAATTATGGAGTTAGTATTCCAATTTTAAAAAAAAAACCTAGTTGTACCTTATTTAACAGCATGCAACTTTTTCATAGGTATTTACAGTAACAATATTGGCATGATAGTACAGGTTTTTAATCAATTTGCTGCTTAGGGATCACACTCTGGACTCTAGGTTTGGTTTGGAGTGCCTCTGAAGTGGAATCCCTGACAGCAACTTCTAGACTTCTGGGTTTTCCCATGTATGTATGGACTTGTATCAGTTTCATTCAGAACGTTGATAGCAAATGCTGACAGTATTACCACAAGTATTATAGCAAAAGCCGATCTGCAGTGATCTGGGGCATGACGAAGAATGAAGATTTGAAGTAGCAAGGCCCTGTACTTGTACATAATCTAGCCCACCTTCCATCACCACCACCAGCTCATGTATATTATACAGAAAAGAAATTTCTGTTATGTTAGCAATAACCTTCAACAAAAACTCTATTGTAATGGAAGTTTGGATTTTATTTTTAATTATAGGCTTTGCGAAGTCATGAAGGAAATGAGGCCCAAGTCTGTTACTTCATTATTCAGCTCTTGCTGTTAAAGCCGAATGATTTTAGGAACCGAGTGAGTGATTTTGTGAAGGAAAATTCCCCAGAGCATTGGCTACAAAACGACTGGCATACAAAACACATGAACTATCACAAGGTGAGTGGGTGACACCCGTCATCTTTCATGTCAAATGTAACACAAAGTATTAATGCAGGATTTGATGGTTTACGTTTATACCAGTAGCAGAGGTTCTGTAGTCATTTTCACTTCCTTTTTGAGCGTAGTTTTCTGTGTTTTGTCAATCAATCTTGTTTCTCATTGAGCACTTGTATAGACAAAATCTCATAGTCATGATGTACTCAGTGCAGCAATTTTAAAGTTAGTGTCTGAAATTAACATTTTACTTTCTAAAAGCTTGTATTATGGCAGGCTGGAGAAGTGTACTGTTGCTTTAGTCCATCTACTCCACAGGTCACAACAAAAAAATAATTTTCCAGGTATAGAGATGACCAATTCAACACCTTAATTATATTTGGTTTTACACAAAAAGGTCTATCAACCGGGTTTCTTAATAAACACAATTACAGGTTTATTATCAAGACAAAATCTATTCAATAAAGGGTCAATAATTGGTTAACGTACCCAGTCTTTAATGTAGAAAGACTCTCCCTCTCTTAAGGAAAAGAGAAGTAAATTATTTCTGCAAAGACTGGCTTTCAGCAAACAGAACACTTTGGCCAATCAGTTATTTTTGAAAGCAAAGGGATAAAGTGTAGTGTTCTGAAGTTTATTGCTCTGATGATCGCATGGCCAGAACCAGTCACTAATCTGACACTCAATTTAGCTGGCTTTTTCCTTTCTTCTGGGCAATTATGGATGGACAGCAGATGCTGGCCTAGCCAGCGACTCCCACGTCTCATAAATAAATGTTTAAAAATTAACCAATCCCAACAGCTAAATGATTTGGATCTCGACTTAGGATAAAAAGTTTGATGACACCTTGTTCCCTACGCTCTATCTGGCACCCACTCACTGTTAAATTGCCCCTCCAAAATGAATCTTAAGTCACAGCTTTCCTTGTAAAGATGATTTTTTCATGATAATGCTCTTACCTAGTTGATATACCATTGCAACATGGACTACAGTATGCTGCTGCTAGCGCGCACCTAAAGAAGCCTGTTTCGGTAAGCAGGATGCTATCGTTGTGTTAATTCTTGAGTGAAACAACTAAAAATGTTTCAGCTTGGAACGCTACCCCAAGGAACTCCTGAGACAATTCCCTTACCCTGAGGTGAATGGCCTCCAACAGCTGTAGCCATCTTCCTTTGCACTCGGCACAACTCAAGCCAATGGAGGCACATCTCCACCCCTCATGTTCCCACTGAGGTCTTGAGCCAAGTAGTCACAGATTGATAATTGATGAACAGGTTATTGGTGACTAAGTGTTGCTTGATAGTACTGTTGATGACACTTTATGCTGTCAGTTTAAGCTCTCATCATAATCTAATGTTTTAACCGTGTACTGGTTCAGTTGTATAAGGTGAGCATAATTATTGCAGTTTTCTTTCTTCATTCTAATTTAGATACCGGAATAAGATGAGGGTTTCCTGCATCATCACTTTTCATCAATTTAAATTTAATTTGTTTTAGAAGTCAGCATTTTCATTTTCCTGCTGATCCCAAACAGCTTAATGTTCACTGAAAGTCATCTACACACAACCTGTGGAGCAAACCTCATAGCAAATATTAATAATTTTACAATTATAAGAAATATTTTGCATCAGCGCCATATCAATTGCAGATAGCATTGCTCAGCAAATTGTGACTCCAGTTTTGAGAAATGGTCCATGACTTTGTCATTTGATCTAAAACTTTCTTTATGACAAGCCTCTTCAAATAGGAGGAAACTTATTGTAATTTTGACATGACCAAAATCAGATTTTGTAAGTTGTACAATAATCATCCATTGTCACTCAGTCAGTAATTCTAGATGTCTGATGTGGTGTTTAATTCACTTTCTCATTTGTAACCTTCAGAGGTTTAATGACTGAACTTGGTTTAACCTTTTTTAGTTGAGTTATCATGTACTTTTTCTGTCTCTCCTCCTGTCCTGCCTCCATTAGTACTAAAAAAAGTATATTGTTTGTAGAGTTTGCAAGTGAAGAAAGCCATCTTTAATTGAATGTTGTGAACAAATTTTATTTGCCTTCAGAGTTTATCAGAGGACATTTTGATTTGATTTGATTTGATTTGATTTATTGTAGTCACATATACCTAGGTACAGTGAAAAGCTTTGTTTTGCGAGCAGTACAGGCAGATCATAGCAAACAAGGATATAGATGTCATAGGGTGCTTCCACGAGGCATACAGGTTACAACAGCATAGGAGGTGCGCAAAGCAAGATCAACATTATTTGAAGTTAGAGAGCTGATTTCAGCAGTCTAATAACAGCAGGGAAGAAGCTGTTCTTTGAAGCCTCTGTTCTTCTGTGTGATGGAAGAGGTTGTAAGAGAGCATTACCAGGTTGGAAGGGGTCTTTGATGTTGGCAGCCTTTTCACAGCAATGGGAAGTGTAAATGGAGTCCATGGATGGCTTCCGTGATGGTCTGGGCTGTGCACACAACTTCCTGTAGTTTCTTAGGGTCCTGGGCAGAGCAGTTGCCATCATAGAATATCATAGAATCCCTACAGTGTGGAAACAGGCCCTCCGGCCCAACAAGTCCACACCGACCCATCCCTTTATAACCACCTAATCTACACATCCCTCAACACTATGGGCAATTTTCATGGCCAATCCACCTCGCCTGCACATTTTTGGACCGTGGGAGGAAACCGGAGCACCCGGAGGAAACCCACGCAGACACTGGGAGAATGTGCAAACTCCACACAGACAGTCGCCCAGGGTGGAATCGAACCTGGATCCCTGGCGCTGTGAATACACCCAGATAGTATGCTTTTTATTTGTGAGGGGCCCTTATGGACATGTCAAAATTCCTAAGCCGCCTGAAGAAGAAGAGGTGTTGTTGTGCCCTCTTGACCATCACATCTACGTGGGAAGTCAAGGACAGATTGTCAGTTATCGTCACTCCTAGGAACTTGACCCTGTCAACCCTGTCCACTTCAGCTCCGTTGATGTAGATAGGTGCATGTCCTCCTTACTTCCTGAAGTCAATGATCAATTTGGTTGTTTTGCTGACGTTGAGAGAGGTTTCTATCATTGCACCACGACACCAAGCCCTTTATCTCCTTCCTGTATTATGACTCATCGTTTGATATCCGTCCTACCAAGGTGGTATCAATCATCAGTAAACTCGCAGATGCTGTTTGTTTGGGATTTGGCTACACAGTTGTGGGTGTACAGGGAGTACAGTAAGGGACTGAGAACGCATCCTTGGGAGGCTTCAGTGTTGAGTGTTATCGTGGCAGAGGTGCAGTTGGCTATCACTGATAGCGGTCCATGGGTCAAGAAGCTGAGGATCGATCCAGTAACAGCAGGCAGAGCTGAGACCAAGGTCTCAAGAGTTTTGAGATTGGTAAGGATTATGTTGTTTCTATTATGTTATTTCTATTGTAAAAGGGATCCACTATACTTATTAGAATTTAAAACATCATACCGCAGGAAGCTGGACTTTGTGGACAGAATTTACAAAATGCTCAAGATGGAGCATGATATAAAATCTTGAATTGAACTAATGCACTTCAGGCAGTCTGCAGTTTGGTAATTCCACTCTTTGTATTTATCAACATTAAGACCCTTCAATTCATTACAGATCTTTTGCAGATTTTGATTTGCACTACAGAGAAAAGTATAATTAGTTAATAGCAAGTAGTGCAGAAAATATGAAGTTGTCGTTGATTGTAAAAGTGAAATATTTTTACATAACTGCTAAGTTGACAATATTCACAGACTAGTTCTGTTCGTGAAGCTTCTTGCCCTGATGCTAACCAGGGAACCATTGTATGTACAGTGAGCAGATGCAGTTTTAGACATATGAGGATACAACTTTAGAATCAAATGTAGAAAGGCAAGAGAAATGTGTTTAGGACACAAATTTGACATGGCAGTCATCCATTAGGAAGGGGAAATGTCATTATAATGTTGTTCCAGACAGAACTTTTGTTGCCTTATTTGTTGTTTTTCTAATTAATCTAATATTTTTAGCATCTTTATCATGTAGAATGAACTATAATGGCCTTCAGACTTATTTTATATTTTGTGTAGTGACTGTTTAATGAACCCCCAATATTTTTAAGTTGAAAGCTTTGCCCTGATATTAACAACCATTGTTAAAGGACTGTAAAATTTTCATATGAATTGTTGCACTTGAGAATGAAATTCTGCTGTTAATTCGCATTGAAAAAGATGGGATTAAAAGTGCAAAACCTTTGAAAGAATGTTACGTAGGAATGGGATTCACTTTAATGTCACTCATCTGAAGGCCTTGTATTTGCTGTCTCTTTCAGAAATATCCTGAAAAGCTGTATTTTGAAGGCCTGGCTGAACAGGTTAATCCCCCTGTGCAGATTCAGCCTCAATATCTCCCTATTTATTTCGGAAATGTCTGCCTTCGGTTTTTGCCAGTGTTCGATATTGTAATCCACAGATTTTTAGAATTACTCCCAGTTTCAAAATCTTTGGAAACACTTCTTGATCACCTAGGAGGCCTGTATAAGTTTCATGGTAGGTTTCATGTCCTTCAAAATATCTAATAGTTCTGGTCTCTCTTCTTTGTACATTAACCAGGTGGTTGTGTTTTCTATTTTTGGTTTAATTGTTTTTTGTTTTAAATTTCAATCCTGTTTCTTTGCAAGACCAGTGATCTGATATGTTTTACTAAACATCAAATTTGCTCATCTTATCTATTGTCGCATGTATTTCATTACAAAATACAGTGATAAGTGTTGTACGATGTCGCCATTCTCCAGCGCCATCTTAAAACACAGGAAAAGAAATCAAAACATAGAACAGAAAAGCAGAAAAATAAAGAAATAGTGTTCAACGTTACAGTCATTCTTGTTATGTGCTCTGCCATGGGCCTGCCGGCCAGCCACAAGTCCCCTTCACTGTGCTGCCATCGCTGGAACAAGACTTGCCACTCTTCAACGCCATCTTGCCTCGACTGACAACCCCGCTGCAATGCATCCTTGCTGGACCTTGCCAATACAGCTGCCTGTGATGCTGCTAGGTACCACACCACCCTAAACTTGACTCTGCCACTGCCATCCATCCGTTTCAGGCCCAGGCATGAGTCAACACTAGGACTGCCTTGTTGATACAGAAGCCCTGGCCTCACTTTGAGTCTGCGCTAAGCCTATCTTCAGTCTTTGTGGGATGAAATTTTTAAGCTTATATACTAGCAGCAAGGCAATCTCATGGAAGGTTGTATTTACAGCGCCTGTGATGTTCTGCTAAGCCACTGATATGTATGAGACATGACCTGTGAGGTGAAAAGAGGGTCTATCAACTATCACGACAGAAGCAACATTTTTATAGTATCTTTGTGTTGAGTGTTTTACATGGTTGAATGTGTATAGGGTGTGGGGTGGAAAGAATCTATGAAATGCAACACCAAAGTACGGGAAAGATCAGGAATTGTGAAAATGGAGATCAGACCATCCAGAAGAGGTTTTCGTTGGGTAGATTGTTAGGCTTACAAGTGCTCCTGCTCCCCATTAGCCACAAACTATGCTGCAGAAAAGCTTATCAATCCAGTCACTTTTGCATCTTTTATCTGCCAGGAATAACTGACATTCCTGGTTAAAAAATGGAAAACCCATTGAAATGAAGGTCAAGTTACCTTCTGAGGGCTGTTTGGTCACTTGCCCATCACAGTTTAGTCCTGAAGTAGGATCAGTTTGAAACTTTTAAAAATTTTACCTTTTCACCCGGTCAAAACCTACATGTTTTATGGTTTAAAATTTTCTCTCCCAGAGATAATGTACAGAAATATGTTTTGCACTGTGGATTATGATTTAGAATGAATCACCTGGAAGAATGGTGGAAACAGATTCCCAACAGTAACTTTCAAAAGGGAAGTGTGAAGAATGCATGCTGGGACCTGCAGTCAAATAAAATTAGTGAACAACAAGCTTCTTAATACTGCATCAGTCGAATACCATCAAACTCATGAAGGATCTGATTATGAATGTGTTGAGGCTTTATGGAAGAGAGGGCTAAGGCCTTAGATTTCTGCATCAAACAGCAACTTTGAAAGGTGCAAAAAGATCATTGAGAAATGTAAGGTAAAAATGTAATTTTGCACACTCTACAGTGATCTAGAAGTTTTCAAAACCCAATTTAGGACAATTCGCAAAATGAATAATGTGAGAAACTGCCTTCATTAAAGAGACAAGACTATCTTCACAGATGTGTATGTGTTCTGCAGTCTGAAGTTGATTTTCTCTTGAAGAATGAAATTGGCTTTATAGAATATTTAAAAAAAAGTGTTACAGAAGGAAACCCATTGATCCTTCATGTCTGTGTCTCCTGTTTGAAAGAGATTAATCACTCTTCCTTATTATTTCTCTGCAGCTGTGTAACTTTCTTTCTTTACCATTATTTATCCAATTTCCCTTTGAAAGTTGTTGTTAAATTCTGCTTTTATCATTTCTATATTGAACATTCAAATCACAACTATATAAGCATTTTTTTCTTTCATGCTATCCCTCGTTTTTTTTGCCGATCATCTCAAATCTGTGTCCCCTCGTTACTCACCCTTCTGCCACTGCAGTGTCTTTTTTATCTATTCTCTATGTACCCTTTGTGATTTTGAGCACCTCTATCAAATCTTCCCTTAACTTTTTTTTTCTATATGGAGCACAATGCCAGCTTCCATAGTGTGTCTTCATAATAAGTCTTTGAACACATTTAATTACGTTCCTGATTTTGGAGAGAGTTTGTAGTCTTTCTTCACATGTGTTTTGCTTAAAGTGAACTAAAATGTAGAATCTCAAACATATTCAACTGCATTTTTGCTTCTACTGTAGACCGGCCTGTGACCTACCTATACAATACACTTCATTACTATGAGAGACATCTGCGAGATCGCACAAATCTCAAACGCAAGCTTGTTCATGCAGTCATTGGCTCTTTAAAAGATAACCGACCACAAGGCTGGTGTTTAAGTGAAACTTATCTGAAATCTGCCATGAATGCACGAGAAGACAATCCGTGGGTTCCTGATGACACGTACTACTGCAAGTTAATTGGTCGATTAGTGGAGAATATCCTTCCTCTGTGCTAATTAGTTTGTGTGCAGCAAGTGTATATTGTAAAAGTCCTCCCATGCTTAATGTAATTTATTCAGAGGATATACATGTAACAACTAGAAAATGCCTTTTGAAGGAAACAAATTGACTGCAAGTTTGTTAATGTAATCTTGAATTTTCTTCCAGAGTTTGAAAGGCTTTTTATGATTCTCATGTGAAACTTTAATTACTATCAATATGAAGTTGTTCATTGCTGTGTGCAGAATTTTTGGAAACGGTGTCCAAGTGTATGTGGAAAGGCAGGTTGCCACAGGGTTACAAACAGTTTAGAGAGACAGTGAATAGGGTACGTGAGTAAGCAAATGGAGAATAATACAAAGTTTCTCATTTTGGAAGGGAGAACAAAAGAAGAGTATTGCTTAAATGGAGAAAAACTGTAGAAAGCTGTAGCACAAAGGGATTTGGGGCTACTTCTGCACAAAACACTGAAAGTTAGCACACAGGTGCAGCTGGTAATCAGGACGGCTAAGAGAAAGTTGGCCCTTATTGCAAGAGGGTTGGAGTGTACAAGTTGGAGTAGAGAAGTCTTACTGCAACTGTACATGATGCTGGTGAGACCATATCTGGAGTACTGTGAGCAGTTTTTAATCCCCTTATTCAAGAAAAGATGTTATTTAATGGAGGCAGTTCTAGGTTCACTAAGGTGGAGGAACTTCTTCTCTGAGGATTGAGAGTCTTTGGAACTCCTTGCCACAGAGAGCTGTAGGGACCAAGTCCTTGTGTATATTTAAGGCTAAGCTAGATTCTTGATTGATAGGGTAATAAAGCATTATAGAGAAAGGGCAGGAAAGTGGATGTGAGAAGTGTCCTTTTGAATGGCAGAGTACTCTCCAGGTTCCAAATACCATACTCCTGTTCCTATTTTTTATGATCTTGTATAGTAAAAGCAAATGGGCACTGACAGTTTCAGTGGCTATAGTATTTTATTTATAGTTTATGCTATTATTACTAAGTTGGTCTAATTACAATTCTCTTGTTCAATTCCTATTTGATCCACTTTTAAGATAGAAATCATAAATAGGAATGAAAATATAGTTTATTTTGCTGAGTTTTAGGTATTCTGGTGCCAATAATTCAAATGGAGCTTGAGCCAAGAAAACACTTTTGTTTTAATTTGTAAGTATTAGCCACATTAGCGGAACTATTTTTAAATGTTGTGTAATTGATTCATCAGAATAACTTTTTGCATCATACTAAGTGAGGTATGGTTATGCTTGATCTGTATTTCTTATACATGTGAAAATCTTTAATTGCTGTTACACATTCATTCATATTTCCCTTAATCAGTGTACCACCTATGGCAGGTAAATCACCTGGTCCATTTCCAAACTGCGACTGGAGATTCAATGAATTTCCCAACCCAGCAGCACATGCCCTTCACGTAACCTGTGTGGAACTTATGGCATTATCTGTTCCAGGGAAAGAAGTTGGAAATGCACTTCTTAATGTTGTGCTGAAGAGGTAACTTTATTTAGAAATTATCTTTCTTCACTTCGGGTAGCAATGGATTTTAAAGAGCAGGTTATTGTTAAATGTGAATTGTATTTACATAATGTTTCAGCAAAATACTTGGCTAGAAGCTGATTTGCTTGAATTCCATGATGATTACGAGTTTCAGGCTTTTGCCTTTTTTGAAGAATACTGTTGAGCATGTTTCTTTCAGAAGATAAAAATGACCATTGGTTATTCGGGTATTTGTGGCATGTGTATTTTGGTCTCTGTGTAAGAATGGTCAGTAATTCTGTAGCCCTTTTTTTTAAAAGAGATGTCAGTATGGAAAAGAGTGTCTGGGGGTGGTGATGGTGATGGGAATTTTTGAAGAAGCAGAATATTATTAGCGAACACAGTAAGTACTAAGGGGCATAGCTTGCTTTCAGTTTAAAAGGATCAAAATTGTTTATTTTTACTTAAGGGGAAGGGCCCAAAGTTTAGAAGCCTTCTAGTTTCAGCTTGCTTCAGTTCAGTTCAGATTGTGGTGGAAGTTGGATGTATGAAACAGTTTCTTGTGTAGAAAAGAGAGAGTTTAGAACTGTTAGGAAATAAGTTACCTCAGTGCAAGAGTTTTAGTTTGAAAGTTGCAGACTGGAAGTGTTTGATTTAGCATCCTGAAGGGTTGTTTGAAGTTGTGTGACTAATCAAGCAAGGAGCTACCAAACTCTCAAGACTTGGAAATGGAAAAAAAGTTAAAGCAACCCTAATAATGGTAGAGATGCAAAATCTGTCTGGTGTTTTGTATACTGTAACATGAAAATGTTAACATAGGTAGGATTATATTTTTATTATGTGCTTTGAAATTTTTAATTTGATCATATGTCAAGCTAGTTTATTTTGTGTAATAAACTTATTATTGAAATCTAATTCACAACATTACATGTTTGTGTTGTCAAATTTAGAACAAAGCAAAATATGAACTATCAAACCAGCTTTCAGCCTGGGATCTGACATGTCTAGAGGTTGCATTGCCTGGAATCATAACACAACACATCTACTAACATCTGTGAAGAGAGAAATTTTGTTAATGTATCAAGTTGATGTCTTTTCATGAAATGTTGTTCTGATGCCAAGTCGTCTGCTTGAAATATTATCTCTCGTTCAGTCTCTACATTTGCTGCAAGATCTGTTGAATATTTTATGCATTTTCTGTTTGTACTAAAAATATTTTCATCCACAGTATTTTGCTTTTGTGCTATTATTTTGTCATTTGCTTCCATACTATTTTTCTTCCAGTCAGCCTTTGGTACCAAGAGAAAACATTACTGCCTGGATGAATGCAATTGGACTTGTAATAACTGCATTGCCTGTAAGTTTGTTTTTAAATTTTGTAAGAAATTGATTAAATACTAATAGTTGATGTGAGTTTTTGTGGAGCCTGAATTCAGGTTTAATTTATAATCCCAAGTAAATGTTTTAATTAAAAAGAATTTGGTATGAAGTCTTCAAAGTCTGTCTGGGGTTAAGCTATTCTCTGAGAAGCCATTAGCTTTCCAATGATGTGATAGTGCTGATGATGGCTATTGCTAGAAATTTTGAGTAGATTATTATTCTCAGTCACCTCCTGTGGTTGCCACCACAGATATCAGTTTTAAGTCAGCGTGGTTTGCTCCATGTAATATTAAATGATCGAGTTTGCTCAACATAGCAAAAGCTACAGGCCTTAGCATCGAGTAATATGATGGAAACATGGTCAGTGTAAAGTAACATTATAAATTAGAGGTAGTGAAAAGCTGACATAAAAAAGATGAAGTGTTAACAATAAAGAATTGTGGGACTTCCTTTCTCACATGAGCAAATTTTTCCAACATAGTAAGTCAAAGACATTCTACGGTACTAATTCCAGAAAGCAGCCATTTCAGCCTGTATTACTTTCCAATGTTAACTGAAAACAAAACTGCAGCTGCTTTAGTGGTTAAAAATGATCTTCTTGTTTTGGCAACAAGTTTGCACAGAAAGTCAAGAACAGTTGAGCATGAGAAAGCTGTACTTCATTCCATTGCATTTAATATCTGAAATATATTAAGCTTTGCTTGACAGCAAGTCCAGTGAAATGGAGGACTTCTCAAGTTAATTTTTAAAGCATTGTGTTTATTGTACTACATTGAACATTATTTATATTAATGCACTCAATGTCAGGGATTCCTTTATTTAGATATAAATATTAAATTACAATTTAAAACCTGAATTTAAAAATTCTGTTTACCATTTTCTTTAACCTCACTTTCATTTATACTTTCTCATACCTGTTTTGGCACCTAGCCTCTGTTTATACCAAGCAAGCACTCTAGCATAAAGGAAGTTTGGCTGGGAAAGAGTTAAGTCCACATCAAGTGTATCTTCACTCCTGGCCTGATGAAGGAACGCTCATCTGGATGTTGAGTAATAGCAAGAATGTTGTTTTAACAATCTGGAGTATGGAGTTTACATAAAACCCTGGGAGTTATTTGGCCTTTACTTTTCAGCCCCTGTAGAAGATGAAGCCTCGTGGTGTAAACCACTGTAAATATTTTCAGATCTGCGGAAGGACCAGCTGTCCAGACCTATTCCTACTGGAAAGTAAACAATATGCTCACCTAGTAGTACAGGCTGTTGTCTGACACTTTCAAAGCTAGGTGATTGCTCACTCACCTGTATATTTTGACAATATCTGCATCAGAGGTCATCTTTGAATTGCTTACCACAAAATTATTGGAACTTTTCAGGCATTTCTGTTGTTTCTTTTCCTCATTCTCAGTGCAAAATACATCTGAAAAGTAAAAATACCGTTGGGACTTTTTTTTTTCTTTGCTATGAAAATCATTGGGATTTTATATTCTAGGTGGAGCGCCTTCACTTCCATCTTGTGGCACCTTCTAGGCGTTTGGTGTTCCAGACAGCCCACTGGGATTTTTAAATGACCAAACTAATCAGTAGCAAGGAGCTGGCTTACTGAACAATGAAGTGAAATGTGTGGAGCTGCTAATGTTGGAGAGCCAACTGAGGCACTCCAGCGTTGATATCAGCTGAGGGGGCACAGCATCAGATTACATGCCTACACATCTCCCAGTGTTTAACACTGCCAGTTTAAGAATGCAGCTTCATTAACACAGCCAATTTTGGCAGAAAACGTGGCAACTGAGACTAGTGAGTAACTTCTCAGTGCCTGAAACCAGATCACTTCAGGATAAATTGAATTCTGTACACCACTGGATGGTTGCTAAACTACTAATTGGATACAATCAGCAATCTCGAGTATCATTAACACTCTTCATTATGGTCAAAAGTATAATAGAACAATAAAATGCTATGGAGTTTCATTGTAAATAATTCTTGCGTTAATAAACTTCAATTTGGTGACATGCAACATGAGAAGTTAATGAGTTAGAGGGGAGTGCACTGGGTGGGTTATGCAGCCTTTGATAGTATGTAAGAAAGAAGTTGCAAGTACAAACATTGTTATTGAAACAGCATTGTGCATGCTTTTATCACATCCTATAAATGGAGTCTCCACAATTTAGTGGAAAAATATTTCATATTGGTGAAGTGGAATGCATTCCTGCTGCCGAAGTAGTGATATTGAGTAAGGGAACTTATCGGTGTGATGTTTATCCTACATCTGATGCCTAATTAACACAGCCAAGAAAATGAACTGGAACAAGTAGAATTGTCAGAAGATGGTTTTGTGTTGTTATAGTATTCCAGCACTTTAGTAAATATTCATCCAAAGGGATGAATACTCCACTTCCTGGACCACAGATTATAACTGGAAAATATGATTGAGTAGAAAGTTGGAAGATATCTGGAAAAGTCAAAGTCCAGCTATTTTGTCTTTCCACAGTCCATTATTAACAGGAATATACTGAAAAGGCTAGGCTGCTGTATTGGCACACTGCAGTTCTGACATCAGAGGACAAGGTGAAAGAATGATTAGGCTTTCAGCCTGCAATGCCCATTTGTAATAAATGAGGTTGATGTAACAGTGCATTAGTTGACTGCTTCCACCAATGAACTGAAAAAACTCATTACAGAGTTACATTAAGATTTGTAGGACAAATTCAGTTGCAGTCTCTCAGCTTAGAGAAATCATTAATGTTTGGCTGTCTAATATTACATTTAAATTAGTTGTGAACATGTAGGCAAATGCCTTGAGGTCCAGTAAATATCAAATTGTATTTGCACAGTGCCTTTGATACTTTGTAAAGAGGAAAGAGTGAGCTTTAAGGAGGGTAAATCTCTGCTTATATCCCAGGCGTCTGTCGATGCAACAACTAATACTGGATCAATTAAAATTGCTGAAGAAGCTAAAACTGGTTGAGTGCAGATATTTGAGTTGTGATTGGAGGAAATTGAGAGAGACAGGGGCAAGGCCACAGAGATTTAACAAGGTAAAATTTTAAAATCAAGGCACTGTTTAGCCAGCAACTAGTTTATATCAGCAGACGTGAGGGTGACTGTGGACAGGGTTTAGTGCTCGGAAGCACATGTGCAACAGAGTTACAGATTACCTCCAGTTTACAGAGGATGGGACATGGAAGACTGGCCACTAAGTATTAGACAGTCAAGTCTAGAGATAACAAGTGCGTATGAGGGTATCTCGATCAGGCGGATTGAGTTGGGATGGAGTCAAGTGATGTTATGGAGGTGGGAATAGGTGGGCATAACAATAGCAAACATATATGGTCAGAAAACAATTTTTGGGTCAAATGATACAATGATTATGTCTGATTTGTCATTTAAGTAAATTGAAAATGTGTTTGCTCCTAAATTTGGGATATAGAATTTGAAAATGTCTTCTAATTGTGGTTTTATTTTCAAAGTTTTTTTTGTCCTTTGTTTGAAGGAACCCTACTGGATAGTGCTGAATGATCGCATTGTGAATGTCATCAACAGTGCAACATTGACCTCAGATACGGAATGGGTTGGATATCCATTTCAGCTATTTGATTTCACAGCTTGCCACCAGTCTTATTGTGAGATGTACTGTAGCTATGTTCTGGCCTTGGCACATGCCGTGTGGCACCATTCAAGTATTGGCCAACTTTCCCTCATCCCCAAGTAAGTATTAGAAGTCTTTCTGTTTATCTCTATGGTTCTGGGTGTAATTTTACTCAATACAATGAGCTTGTAGCATTTCTGATGGATCTATGCTAACCATATGCCCCTAAAGTTGAAGCATGTTCAAACACACAAGTACCTGACAGTTGTAGTGAGGAATTTAAAGCAATTTGCTTTAGAACAAAGACCATTTCTTTAGATGTTTGCTACTAGAGCAAATTCAAAAGAAGTCCAGGGGTGATGTGAAAGTGGGAAGCGCATTGGCTCTGCTTAAGGGGAAGCCAAGAGTAACTTGAAAAACTCTCCAAACTTTTAACAAAGAACAAAAGAAAATTACAACACAGGAACAGGCCCTTCAGCCCTCCAAGCCTACACTGACATGCTGCCCGTCACAACTAAAACCCCCTACCCTTCCGGGAATCGTATCCCTCTATTCCCATTTAATGCATTAGTGCAGCAGAGAGTCTGGGTTGAAAAGCCCATCAGTAGTATTTGGTTCCTAATACTGAGCACAGTTAGAGCTCTTGGAAGTATTGTAAACTGTGAGGGGGTTAGTGTTGACCTTCAAAAAGCCTTGAACAAATTCGTGGAATGGGCAGGCAACACAGATGGGATAGATCATGGGAATCTTTCCTCCATGGCAGATGTCTAAGACCAAAGAGCATAAGTTTAAGGTAAGGAGTAAGTGGTTCAGAAGAGATCTGAGGAAAGGAATTTTCACCCAGAGGATGTTAGAAATGTGGAATACGCTGCCTGAGAGGGTTGTGGAGGCAGGTACTCTTGCAACATTTAAGAAGCATCTGGGTGCGCACTTAAAATGTCAGGGCATAGTAGACTTTGGACAGAGTGCAGGTACATGGGATTAGATTAGAATAAGTTTGGTGTTTATTACTTTTCAAACTGATGAGCCAAAAGACCTGTTTCTCTGGTTTATGACAATGACAAATAACATTAAATCTAGTGCAAGGAATTGTGAAGTGATACATTTTGATGGAAAGCACATGGAGAGACAGTATAAAACAAAGGTCTCAATTCTAAATAGGGTGCTGGAGTAGAATGATCTGGATGTATATGTGAATAAATCTTTGAAGATGGCTTGACAGGCTGAGAGCACGGTTCATGAAGTGTTCGGTATCCTATGCATTACTAATATGGGCATGAGAGAAGTTATGTTAAACTTCTATGAAATATGACTTTGGCCTCAACTAGAGTTCTGTATCCAGTTCTGCACATGACACTTTAGAGGCATGAGGCATTCGCGTGAGTCCAAAAAGGATACATGAAAATGAGGAGCTTCAGTTACATAGATATATTGGAAATGTTGAGACTACTCTCCTAGAAGAGAAGTCTGAGGGAGATTTGACAGAGGTATTCAAAATCATGAGGGGTCTAGACAGAGGAGATGGGAAAAGTTCTTCCAAATGCTTAACCAGACACACTGCTGGTCAGCAAGTAAGGGCAATGGGTGGATGGAACTTAGGAGACGGCACCAGAGCACTGGATGACCCCGGGTTTAGAGGGTAAAATGTGGGAGGATAGGCAGGAGTCAAGTCCAGAAGTAACATGGGAATAGGCAAGTATTTTCAACAAATGAGCTGAGGCCAGGCTGGGTGATGTTAAGAAGGTGGAAATAGACAGTATGAATTGTGGATGTGTGGTTGTAAACTCAGTTTTAAGTCAGGAATGATACCAACATTGAAAATAGTTTGGTTCAACTCAGTAGCTGCCAGGAAAAGGAATTTTGTTGATGGCCAGGGTGCAAGATTTACAGCAGGGACACAATGCAGTTTTGGTCTTCGCAATATCTAATTTAAATAAATATCTGTATACTCTTGGGGGAATGGAAAATTGAATGAATGATGTTTGAACTTGGTTCCGCAGGCTGACTCCTATGCTGACTGACTCATATCACTTAAATGAAATGTCAATCTGACAACATTTTGGAACCTTTCCCATTTTCGAAAAAATGAGTGCCACCATAATGCAGCATTCAATATCTGAGTAAGGCATCACTAATGAAAATGACTTCTGATAGAAAGTAATTCAACATCTTCTGTACAAAGTCTCTGCAAGCCAGTTCAAAACTAATCGTAAGGTGTAGAATTTTCAGAAGAGTAGCATAAATTTGATCAGATTATTTTAGTTGTTCTGATCAAAACACATTAAGTGTTTTAAAAAGGTGAAGAATAAGAAAACAGCCCTGAACAATTAAGGATCTGCAAGCAGCAATTTGATGCCAAATACAATGTAAGAATTTTAAGTCCATAAAATCAAAACCTGTAGAATAGACAAAAGTGTCGCAGATAGTCTACTCTGCCCTGACATTTTAAGTGCACACCTAGATGCTGCTTAAATGTTGCAAGAGTACCTTCCTCCACAACCTTCTCAGGCAGCGCATTCCACATTTCTAACACCCTCTGGGTGAAAATTCCTTTCCTCAAATCTCTTCTGAACCACTTACTCCTCACCTTAAACTTATGCTGTCTAGTCTTAGACATCTGCCACTTTGTGAAAAAACAACACATTTGAACTACAAGCAAGTTCTATCTTTCATGGGTGACCTGAAAGTACCAGTTCAAACAAATCAATACCTTCAATGTAAAGCATGTTTATCAGGAATTTAGATGAATTAACAGGATATCTAAAGTTTTATTTAAAGGTTTAATTGAATTTATCAAATTCTGAAATTGGAATGGAAAGCTCAGACTGTCATTCTTTTTATTAAGAACTTGCAGTGCAAGAATGGAACATTAGCAAAGTCGAGAAGAGAGAGAAAAGAGCAAAAAATCAGAGAAAAGAAAGTTGTAACATGCAATTAAAAGTCTGAAAATTGTGGAAGGAATAGAAAATTGAGGGGAAAAGACTGATTGTTGGGCCTGCTTATGTAAGAAACAAGATGTACAGGGTCACTAATAGACATAAGCTGTTCTTTCCTATTTAACTATAAAATGAGTAGAGGAACCCAGCTGTCTGAATTATTTAGTTATTTGATCTGTTTATTTGCAATCTTCAAATAAGATAGCACATCATATTAAGAAATGAGAAATAATTTAGGAATGGAGTGTGCAAGTCTGTGGTAAATGTCTGAGCTGTCAAAAGAGCTTTGTTCTATGTTCCCTGTTAAGACAGGTGATCCCTGTACATGATTAATCTTTGTGTAATATTCAAGAAATACTCATTTATGAGTAATTGAAAAGGATATGCAAGGAGTTTTGACTCCTTTTCCTTTGAATAACTATACTTTCCACATGAATTATTGTAGCAAGAGTACCTCTGCTTGACTGTATAACAATCATAAAATTAAGGTTGACTTTTTGATGCAAATTGAATATATGAATTTTAAACTTTTCAAGCAGCCCAGAAGAGCAGGATGGGCATTTCATATGATCTCCAATGCATTACACTATAGGTGAAAGGTAATTATTGTGTAGTATATTACTAAGAATGATTACAGCATTCGAAATGGAAGCAGATGTAAGACATTTAGCCTATTTGAGTGTGCTGTGCCATTCAATATGACAATGGCTGATCTGATAATCCTGCATTCCATTTCCTGCCTTTTCCCTAGAACCCTTAATTCCCTTACTGAATAAAAATCTGGCCATTTCAGTGGTGTATGTACTTGACGGCCAGCCTCGATCAGCCCTGTGTGGTAAAGAACTCCACAGATTTGCTACGCTCAGAAGAAATTTCTCCTCATCTTTGTCTTAAATGTGTAACTCTTATTCTGAAATTATTCCCTCTGGTCCTCTTCTGTCACATAAAAGGGAAAAACTAGTATCCGAGGGCAGCTTTTCTAAAGAAGATGATGTGGAAATTCTGTCTAAATTCAGAAGAATTGACAAGGCTCAATCTTTTTTTTTTTGAAAAGCTGTTTTTTTTTTAAACTATAAACCAGCATTCTGTCCATCTTAAATCATGAATTTATTTTCTCCTATTAGATTTCTGAGAACATCTCTTACTGATCAGTTGCTGGCACTAAACCTTGTTTCCTCTGTGCAGATCTGGACCCTCAGAATTTAGAATTTTACAACTGCATTGCTGTATCAGTCTGACACTAAGCTTTCATGACATAACGCCCAGGAGCACCTCTCTAAAAGTTGGCATTTTGTAAAAAATATGAAGTCAAAGGAAAGTAAGAAATGTATACTCTGTATACAGAGTAACTCTCAGCATTGTTTGATTTATCAGTCTCTTGAGTTCAAATTGTTGGGTAAGAATATTTCTATGAATTCAGCTGAAGAAGGCTGTGTCTTACAATTCACTTCATGGGTTGAAGTTATTTTTGCAAATCCAGCTATAGAGAATGACACCAGTTTTGTAAATTCATAATTCTGTGTGCCACATGTTGATTATAGTTGTTTAACAAGGATACTAACTAATGATGCAGCAAAAATAATGGATAAAAGATGAAATATGAAACAGAATGGTTCCCTAAATCATTTCTGAATGCATTACTGTCTTGTGACTTGACTCAGAGGGGTGCTGTAACACAGAATGTGTCTCATTAGTTCATTAACAATGTCTACCAAATCAACGTACTGATTCAGTAATCTTGACGTACAATGTTTGGATATCTGCAGATATAAGTTGTGGTACTTGGCACTGTACCAATTAATGTGAATGCTTTTGGTGCAGTAAAGTCTTAATTTTATGTACTACTTTCATGAGTGCATTGCTTTGATGGCCAATCTGTATTGTTTTATTTCTTTTCTTATAATATGCTAAATATGATTTAATTACAGCATTGAAAATATCTGTGGGTCCCTAACTCATTGTGGACGGTTGAGTTCTTTCAGTTTTGTTCTACTGTGCTGTTATATCTTTACAGTTGGTCCCCAACTTACAAACGTCTGACTTACAAATAGTCGTACTTAAGAATGAGATCCCATATTAAGATTGATTTTTAGGATCCAACATGCAAACACTCAATCGTACTTACAAACTTATATTTTGTGCTGCATTGTGTTCCGACTTGCATACAAATCGACTCACGAATGTACTCAGGAATGGAACGCATCCTAAACCAGGGACTACCTGTGTATCAGCCTATCAGACTGATACCTCTTAAAGCAATGTTACCAAAAATTGATTAGAAACATAGTAATAGTCAAAACAAAATAATTTATTGAAGGTTTTCTGTGCATGATCCACATGCAATAATTATACATGGAGACCTAGTGATTCTGTGCAAGATAAAATCTTTCCTGCTTACAACAAAAATGTGCTTAAGTTGTTGTGTATTAATATTGTCTCTCAAAGTGCATATAGATTTGCAAGACCGATGGATGCCCATTTACTGTTATTGAAATAGTAACAAGCTTTCTCGTTATTTTTTAAAGTGCTAATTTTCATGAAATTGTTTCTATTTTGAGAAGAATCAATCTTTTTAAGATATCAAAGACATGTATCCTACCCAACTTCTTGCCACAAATAAGTTCACTAAAAGGAAATAATATTCAAAAATGAATTGTGAGCTGTCTTCAGTGTTTAATCCTTTTTTATTCTCCTCTAACACTGAAATGAAAAGTAAGCAGTGATGGTATGCAAATCCTCCTTTATGTCCCTTTCCAATTATTTCAATGCTGATGTTTTTCTGCAAGAGCTATTTTTAAGCTACTTTTTTCAGCTCCTTCATCAAGTCCCCTGATGTGTGAATTACTGACTTTAGATCTTAAGACCTAAAAACACAGAGAGGTGTGAGGAATTTTTGCATCCTGTCAAGTTGTACTAAAATATTTTGTAATTACAGTCACAAAGGAAGTCTTAAAGCACTTCCTTTTGGACCTAATTTTAAACCATTGAAGAAACTGTTTTATCTTTCCCATGAGTAAAGCATTGTTATTTCTGTGCCATCTAGTCTAATGTCTTGTAGGCTTTCATAAAACCCTCTAGTGGGCCTGCAGTATCTTGTTGTTTCCAGTTCATATGCCTGTAATTCTACACTCTGGCTCGTCAAATTTGATAAGTAAGTTGATAGGAAAATATTGAATAAATCTGACTAATGGATTCGTAGTGTTTCCTGAGCTCCACCTAATCCTGTTCTGTGATGAAAATATTATTCGATCTCCTGCATTCAAGTGTGAAATTGAGCAGATGAGTTTGTATGATGAAAACAAGAACCGTTTGACAACTGAAGCCAGATTAAATTGCTGATTCCGTGCTATGTTATTTCTTGTTGATCCAACTTCTGGGAAACCGAATTTCAGCATAAACTTCTACACATTCTTAGCTTTTTATGAAATTATCAACCTGGAAGCATTCTGGATATTCCATCATTGAGTACATTCTAGTCTGGGATAGCCAGTTTTTAAGTTCTCGGGGGAATCAAGGGGTTGGGGCATGGTGTAGAAGGAGGAGCTAAAGCCCAAGAACAGTCATGACCATGGCTCGCCAGGCCTTATGATGGTCTCCTATTTCTAGTGATCTTAATACACCAACCTTGCTTACTGTATGAGTTCCAATCAAATATTCCACAGCTTTCCTTTAAATGCCTTGTAAATCTAAAGTCTCTTCATGTGGCCAAAAGCTTAATTTTTTTTTTTTCCCTATGGAATCTGATCTTTGCCACCTAATGGATTAATCAGGGCACAAAAAACAGCAGATACCAATTCACCATAAAAAAATCAGCTAATCTGTTAATCCCCACACTGAATGTATAGTTTGCTCAAGCTGTCACAATACTACAAGCAAAACACCATTATACTCTTTCCCATAATTATGTTCAGTGCTCCCAAGCTAAGGTTATTTCTTTCAGTCCAGAACACACCATAGTTTCTTTCCCTTTCATGCATTTCTCTCACACGAGTTGGTCAACAGTGATCCACTGTGTCGATAGGAGGAAGAATCGAATGAACGTGTTGGTACCTTCCTGCGTGAGGACATTGCAGCCTTCAGGACTCAATATCGAGTTCAATAATTCTAGGGCTGAACTCCTCCTTCCCGTAAACCCCCATACACCAGGTCTTGT